CAGTCACGCACCGCCGAGTCAAGTCCGCGACGCCCAGAGACACCTACCGTGTGCTCCCAGCGCCCAGCAACTTTTCGCGAGCCCCAGCACCGCCTGCCTGCTCGCCGATCGTCCGCGTTCCCAGCGTCCGTCCGTGTGTCTGCGCAGAGCCCGACGCGCCCAACCGAGACGCACGCTGTCCGCGCCCGACGCGCATGAGCTGCCCGCTGCACCCGACGACCGAGACCCGCGCACTGTCCGTTCGTGATCCGTTTGACGAGTTAATTAGAATCAACTAAAGGCCAAACCTATCCGCCCATTAGGTTGTGGTGTTCAGACGAACTTCACCAACGGTACTCTACATCGTCTCAGAGTCGGCAAAAATTTTAAAAGGTAAACGTCCATATCCTAACTATAGATTCCGCTGCGTTAGGATTTATTTCGATAAAGTTCAATACTGTGCATTTTGTTTGACGTTCCTAACAGAACCCAACAACTGGTATCAGAGCCCAGGCTAATGCAAACTCGTGCACAGTTTGAATTTTGGACTTTGTCTGTCTACATGAATTATGTGCGTACGGACGCAGTGGCATAGTAGATTAGAAATTGCAATAAGTTTTTGCAGGTGCTTCGAATCCGACTATCGTGGCCCGTATGTATGGATTTAATTTCATGTTGAATGTATGCTGTTTTTAAAGCATTGGACATGTCAATGAATTTTTGGGTTGGTGAATGCTTGTAATAAATTATTCGCGCGGTGGGACACCGCATAGTTTATTGCTTTCATAGAAACTCATGTACGGCTCCTGCGTGGGTCATAGGATGAATTATGTAATTGTTGTTTATATTATTCGTTATTGATCCGGCGGATGTGGACCAACCTTGACGGGGCGAGGCATAAACACGTACACGAAAGCCATGGTGATGATCCAATGGCGACTTTCCCAGAGACGACCAATTCAATGGGAGTCACTGCGAAAGAAGGAGTTCCAATACCTGAAATGGAGGGCACACTCCACAAGGACAGGACTGTGTTTTCTCTGTAACATTGGAGATTGATTAATGGCCATAATAGTTGGATTATAGTTCCTAGTTTATTATTGCTCATTAATCATGCATGTTTTACGTGATTTCTTATGTGCAAATACAAACATGTTAAGAAAATCCCATAAAATAAAAATTATATTAAGTGTGTAATGGGTTGAAATAAATTACATCCAAGGCCTCCATTATAGGTTTGTCAGTAAAGTGATTTAATTCGAGCCCAAAGGACGTTTTTTTTCACAGT